CACTTCTTTTTTTCGAACACGTCCTGACGACCTGGACAACAAACCCGGACTCAAACACTGATGCATTCATACACATTTCTCATTGTGATTTGTACCTCTGTTTCATTTTTTTGAATTTGTATTCAAACATTTTGATAGCATCATTAATAAAAGAAATTAAATATCAATGGGCTTACATTGAAGAACACAATCCATACTGACTCATACAGGGTGAGAGTGGAGTTGGGTCAAGCCTAATTGTTGCGTATGTGGAGGAGACGGCACAGTCGATTGAAATGCCTTCGGCATTCACAATAATTTATCGAGTGTCACCACACGCATCGAGATCGATAAGGTTTAGTATGTTAGCGATCGTAGAAGCAACTTAACATCTGTCTCATGAATGCTGAAGTGTGCGCACAATAAAAGTTAATTTAAACACGCAAACTGGAAGAAAGTAGACAAACTCGTTTGCGCACATGATGATGACGTAACGGAGTCAAATTTGATTACGTTATCTGAACATCGCACCATAACGGAGTAGGTTTGATCTCATTACAACACACACGACCCCATCTTGTTGAATGTTGCTTCATATCAAAGAATGTACAGGCTTCAGCATGAATTCACCGAAAACATGTTTGATTATACTGTGTTCTTATCGGCGTTGTAATTCTTTGCAGTGCGATCGCCGGTTCTCGTTCAGTATTCACTTTGCATCGCTCCCGGTCATTTGATTCGTTTTTGCATGCATTAATCCGTCCATAATTTAAGAATTTCGTTCGTTTTCCAGTCATCTCAACTAGCACATTCCAATCAATGCGGCAATCCGACGAGGATCCATGCAAACAACATCACACGCGCCTCTGCGCACCCAAGCAGCTTGGTTCCGGTTGCGCCTAACAAGCAGAATAGGAATATATTTCAGAACGAAATCAACAAATACATGCAAATTTTTCGCTTGAACACTTACTCCGACCAGCATTTGACTGACTATAAATCCAACGTAGGATGGATGTTTATAATAGTGCAACCCATGCGTCTATTGACTAATGAATTCGACCTTGAGCTGAACCCTGGCGGAGTATAACGCGTTCACGATCAGCGAACGCTACCAGATTATGCCTATTTTCATTCACTTGCTTTTCTCATGCAGGGAAAAAACAGCACACCGGGAACGCATCGAACACCTGCTGATCTGACCTCGGTTGACTTTTGTTTCACACGGTAAAACCGGGTGGTACAATGCACCATCGATGCGTCTACAGACCTTTTGATACTGTTGTGTATTTTTACAACCGAGTTAAATGTATTCGTGACCACTGGGTCAGATAATCCAACACAGAAGCAAAATGCTTTCAAGACGGTTTATAGAGTACCACACACACACACACACACATGCTCATTATTTACGTGCAGATATCATTGCGTTCTGAGTAATGTATTTAACCTTTTAGAGTTGTTTTTTTGTGAAAAGGAAATAAAATATTCCGAGCAATATTCTCCCGTTGAACGAACAGTGCTGTGATCCAAGATAACTCCGAATACTTCCGAGCATAAAAAATCAAGGAGAAGTACCAGTTTGTGAATTCAGTCATAAACCTGTGGGCCGAAAGTTGACCAGCTGCGGACAATTGCAAATCAAAATTTGCTCAGACTAATAAATTCTCTTTTCATTGTTAGATAAATAGAGCGATCAGCATTGATAACATGAACACCTATACAACTTCACCATAATTTTCACAGTTCTCTGGGCGTTTTTCGGTAAACGCAAGTATTCACTAATTTTGTAACACGTTCATTGTTCGTTATTCAGCTATAGAAAATCTTTGTTTAATTTCCAGTCATTTAGAGAATAATCACAGTGAATAATCTACTCCAACTCTCAATAAAGGGAAAATCATTGGGAAAGGCTAAGTTTATTTCATTCACGGGGACGATAACACTTCAGGAAGTAGTACAAAATATGTTTGGTATAAGAGCACCAGGTATCGTCATCCATCTACCTCATGAATAGTTGCTGATGTCCATTGGGGCTAGGAAAAGGATATGTAAGACAAAGAATGGACAGCAATTTTTATCAGAAAAGAAACCCATCACCCATTGCTCCCCTCCAACTGCTCTGTTTTCTTCGGGATGAAACCAGTAACTTTTCTGTTTTCTATTTTGAGGCGTTAATTCCACAGATGATTCTATGGTGTGATATATGGTTATGGTTTCGCAACCTGAACTACACTCCCCGATTCGTGCACCTGCTTGCTGTCTTCTTCGCTGTCATCATGCACTGAAAAGATTTGCGAATATTCTGAACAGTCGAAACTTTTTTCTTTCGATCGATTTTCATGCTAGCCTGTGTATGCGGCGTATATCAGAGTTAACTGGTAAATGCTGTTTGACAGTCAACTTGGTGGATTCCATGCAAAATGGACTGCGTCCAGCGCTCAGAAATAAAGAAGGGCAAATAGAACATATACGAATATAGAAGCTAAATACAAAGGTTTGCACAATATCTCCTGGATCATTTTGCTTCATCTGTACACGTGCATACTGCAGTCTATGTGATCATTAATATATGGTCAGTAAATAACAGAATCATAGGCGTAGAAAAATTGCGGTCAAAATTGCTCACCAAACACATGTGGTACCAAGACAGCGCTGTTTATACAGTTTGGGATGGTAATTTTAAATGGCTAGTGCCCCAGCGTATTTCAGAACACTCTGGCACTACCTTGGTAACGAATGTGTTTGGTGAGCAATTTTGACCGCAATTTTTCTACGCCTATGATTCTGTTATTTACTGACCATATATTAATGATCGCATAGACTGCAGTAGGCACGTGTACAAATGCAGCGAAATGATCCGGGGAAACGATGCTCCCAGTATTTCAGAACCTTGCTGTTGTTTGTGTCGTAGAGGATTGTGAAAACGTCGCACAGCATGACACAGTGTTTCCTTTCGACCAGGTGTTGTGTGATCGACGAACTGAGTTTCCTACGGGTCATTGGTGATTTCATACTTCCAAAGTTCCCACTCATTGTTTTATGAAGCCAGACCGGGATGTGCTCGGTTACTGAGTAACGCAGACAAAATGATAGCAAAATAATTTTAGTATACCAATAAGCTTTTTTATAAATAAATTCCAAATGATGCTATTTTACACAGATTTTATTATCTTACAACTGATGCATCAGCAACCCTTATCAAAGTTGAAAAATCATGCGTATTGATGTCATTTGACCAAAAGCAGTAAAAACAGGTGGATATTAATACAGTTATGTTAGATCTGATGTAGAGCAATAGCCTATTCGATCTCGTGAGTGAGTCTCAAAATTGTTGAGAGGAAAAATCTGACGAAAGTCAGGGTATTACACGAGTTTGATCAATGACTGTATTTATTGGAGTTAACTCTTTTCTACACTAAATCACGATGCAATCCGCTGCACCGAAATTCCATTCCTGTGTGAAATAGGAGACTGAAGTTTGCAAACTACAACTGTAATAGTGCGATGGAAATGTTTGTGATAACCAACAAAGAGCACTGGATAGCTGTTTCGTTCTGTATGGGACCATCAGCAGTGCGTACTTTTTGTGTCCCTGTCAGGACTCGAACCGCGATTCTTCGGGCTGGGACTCCAAACCCTTACCCATTGGCTACACGGTCGGTGGTTATCACCTTGTAATATTTCTTCGCATCGACCATCCCGGTAGGAGTCATGCTTGATGGCTTGTTTATCTGTCATGGGGAAAAAGTAGGTCTAGGAGCTTATTATCAAAAATATTGGGGGTGTCTGGGATTATTTTCAACAGTGAACATCACAGATATCAACGTTAGCTGCATTTAACTTGGAAACGACCTGAGTGATCAGTGATGCTGTCGAGCGCTTTTAATAACTTATGAAACCCATGGATGACCTAAAATTGTCCAAATAAGCTTAGACCATTCCAACATTTATGTGGGTGTAAAGGTATGCGACATTTTTTCTCGTAGGTGTTCGCTCCTATGAATGGAGTGGGGCTGGTGAGTGGTAAAATTATTCGGGATCGGGGTGATGTGCTCACTCCGTTGGGTGAAGTGACCGATCTTCAGGAGTATGACCGAAGAAGAACAGAGAACTACATTTGGATTGCTTCCGTATCTAATCAGCGTAAAGTGTATGTCTACTGAGGGAACCATTTTCGCAATTCTATTTCCGGAAATGCAATAACATAAGTGTAACCAGTGACGTTTATTTTTCCACTCAGAATTGAGTTCAGAATTTTAAGTACTCTGATGAGTATTTACTGTTGGGATTTAACGAAGTAGGTGTGGAGAAGCATTTCCAAATCGATCAGTCACAATGATAGTAAACCGGCGGTATCGCTTTCCAATAAAAACAGACGAACAAAATCCTCCTTGAAATCCGCTCCGGCCCCGAGGGAAATAAGTTAATGAAGTTAATGAGAC